AAATGCGGTAACTTTGGTATCAGAGCAAACACAAATATCCTCTCTTCGCAGCTGGTCAGCTCAACGGATATACAGTGCAGTCTTTTATCATTGCCAAACTCGCTAAACTAGGCCATACTTGTTCTTACAGCAACTGTAACGGCTTACCATTTGGTGTCGATGATAAACGTTCGGTTGTTTATTGATCGACCTCACTTTGTTGCTCGTTCTCAAGTGTTTTCGCCAGTATATTTGCTTCCCACGGTCCTTACAAACACTGCTCCCTTCTAGTCGGCCATCTTTGACCACTCTATTTCCCCTGTTTAATTTTCCCATCCACAGGTAAAGCGAATTCTGTGTTTGTTGCATTCGGCCCGGGCCCGTTTTTATATCCAGTTGCACAAAATTAACGCTGTAAATACCGTTGCACCCCTTAATGACTTTATTTTATTTCATCTTGCTTTGTTCTTTTCTTCCCCGTTTTTGTTGACATATCTACACACGAGGTTCTCTTGGTTTTCGTTCCGGCTGTGTTCATCCACCTCATTAATATTTGTCTTATGTCCACTGCCATTCTCACTTTCACCTTTCCGTTTTATCCTGTTTTTGGTCAATTGGTTAAGTACAAATTTATCTACAGCCTCTGTTTTTCGTTCATCGAGGTTGCTGTCTAATTGAACAGCATTAAACAACTATCGGTTTGGCTGGTTCTTTTCACACGGCAAAATCAGCTCATATAATTTCAAGAGGGACAAAGCTAGCCATGGGCTGTCCAAAGTTTTCCTCTACCTTGTGAGTAGTATCGCTCAAGTTGAAACTTGATCTGGCCTTGGCGCAGCCCATCGAGTTGGAGAATGACAAAGCGAGGGACTCAAGCGAATTTCAGATAGGTGTCTCATGGACACCGACCTAGTTTCCCAATGAGTGTTTATCACAACATACAATTAGGAAATAAGCTTGATGGAAATCCAGGGACTAGGTCTACCTGTTTAGTCCCAAGAAGCGCGCGAGACCGGCAATGGATGGTCCGGTGGTGATGTTAAGTGGTCTGTTGGGTCTGTTGATTCTTGTTGACTTGACATTCATTCTTACCTCTGTCTTCTATCATTCTTCGTTTTTTTTCGACTTGAAAGATTTACCATCATTGTGCGAACATTGGAATTAATCAAAACAAAGATCACACAAACGGCCTCCTTGTATTTGGTGGGGAAATACATAGAAACTTTCTGTACAAAAAACTGAACTTTTCGAATGGTTTTGTTCCGAAATCTGGTTTCGGACCGTAATAGTCTGTATGTTTAGATCTATTAATTGGTCTCATGTCACATTAGTGGTCGCACAGCTCCGACAGTGAAGGGTCGGTGTTGAACACTGATGTCATTCTGTCTATGATGATGATCGCACCGCACAGAAACTGAACTTTTCGAATGGTTTTGTTTCGAAATCTGGTTTCGGACCGTAATTGTCTGTATGTTTAGGTCTATTAATTGGTCTCATGTCACATTAGTGGTCGCACAGCTGCGACAGTGAAGGGTCGGTGTTGAACACTGATGTCATTCTGTCTATGATGATGATCGCACAGCTGATTACAGAAATGTGCATAGGTGTAGCCGGACTACTGCTCAATCACTGTATCCTCCCCCATTTCCACGTGGTGTCCGCGTCGCTCCGCGGTAGCGCTTCTGCAGGTCCCAACCTTGGACATATCAATTAAGCTTCCGGGAAAAAAAATTAACTGACAGCTTGTCGCTATCTACGACTGTCTTATCTTCAACTTCCTTTGTACGTACGGACGCTCGAAAGATCTGCTTAGAGACTGTTTGCACGTGCTTCGTTATTTGTTGATAGAACGTTGTTGCAATTCTGGAAGATGAGCTTACGACCTAGTCGTGGCTGTCGAGCATACAACACATTTGTCATTCACGTTCAATTGGTAACGAAAATGTGATGTTTTGCAAACCGCTGTAGCAATTTGCTATTGCTATAGCTCTCGCATTCGGAGTGGAGTTCTCGAGTCCGTATCCATGAGCAGCCATTTTTCATTTTTCTGGGTAGTCATACTATCCTAAATGACGATTTATTCCGCGATTTTCGATTATGTTCCGGCCATCAGCTGACGCAAGGGCCTAATCACGAACGTGCCTTATCCATCGTGAAGTGTGCAAATTTTGTCATACCGGAGATTTCACCGCACAGTTGCCCGTTTCACAGTAGCACAGTATGGCAGTGAAGCACCGGTGTTGAACACAACTGTTGTCAGTGATTTGGATCGGCACAGTAGCACAGCGTTTGTGTGGTGGTTAGTCTGCACCATGTGACGTCCCCTCACTGGGATCGGTTGGTTTTTGATCCGGTCACTGAGCCCGGCAGTTGGATTGCAAAGGTTTCATTACTAATTGAGGTGACCTAGTCAGTGCGAGATTGAATAAGCTCGGCGAACGACCAAGCAACGCATCAGAGCTACCCATATTCCGCAACATGCGGACCGGTATCGCATCATTTAAGCATTAGTTACAACCATTCTCGAGCAGCCGCACTTTCGTCCCGCATAGGTTCTTGATAATCACTCATTGCTAAATAATCCCCCCGATTAGGTACAAAACGTCTACGAGAAATCTCATCAAAACATTGTTTTGAAGTCTCAAAAGTGATATTCTGTTCTACAAACTAGTGCAGATTCATGGTGTGGTACCTCTGTATATGGCCTTTAAGAGTCACTGCATTGGAACATTTCCCTTCCTCATTTTGTGCGGCACGATGGGTATGCTAAAACACTGCGCATAACTGGGTCTGACAGTCTAATGGACGATGAATCTAATATAATAAACAAATCATACGCTAATCGATTGCGACCTTCATGAGCCTGAAAATTCGTGATTCATAACTGGACTGACGGGTGCGTCTAAGAACAATGGAGGTACTCGGTTGCGTGCGATGGGAATGGAGTCATGATAATTCAGAAAATGTATTCCTTTATCCGACTCGGGGCGTAAGCTTGTAATCAGTTTAGCCTCTGGAATGCTAACAGACCTCTATTATTTGAGACAACATGCTACAGTGATTCTTCGTCGGCATGATTTGACAGTAGAATCGCCAGGGAAAATCTGTTCTTCCGCGATTATAGTTTTCATGCCTCCGCCCACCGATAGCATGAGTGGGGGGTTGGAAGTTTTTCCATGTCGAAAAGGCCGAAAAAAGGACATTTATCTTTTTCACCCTTGTTGGGAATCATCAGCATCGCTCATCTCACTATTATGGACTGAGAAAGTTGGTTGTACGACAATTTAATGTCCCCAATTTCAGCAAATTTTTTCACAGTCTAAGATTTAAATTGGCCATTCTAAATTTGGAATCCGTTCAACCTTGTGTGCTCATTACTTGTACACTGCGAGGGACGAAACAGACTTGCAGACGTAGAAGAGAGCGTTGTCGCTCAGGTCAAATTCCTGGTTATCCAAACGATCAATCCTATTTGATTGACAGAGCCTGATATATCATATGCGCGATATATATATATATATATATATATATAGTATATAACGTATGCATATATAGAGAGCTGCTCTCAAGAAGAGGCTTCCGAGGAAAGCATGGCCTGTTTGATTTGGTAGTAAAGCGCTTACTTTGCACGCGCCGTCTCCCAGTAGAAAATAATAAATTCACTGCTGGTGGAGAAATTTCCTGAGCGTGTGGTTGGTTGTGTCACTTTCCCCTGTTATGTGCCAGTAGATACTGCTGAATCCACAGACGGCCACACTTTGTCCAAGTTGGTTCTCATCTATTCAGTGACGGTCGCTGAGCGGTTGGGTGCTACGAAATTCCGGATCTACCGGGTTCTAAGGGGGTAACGCGTCATGATGCGTTCGGAGTGATGAAGACAACAACAGCACATGTTCGTTCATATCCGAGTGCTTCTAGATCATTGGTTAGTTTCCTCGCCGATCCCCGAACCTCGCGCAAAGTGATCGGGCGTGCATTCATTCCCACATGAGGGGTTCGAATCACAATGGATAAACAACTGGTTCTGTAGACTCTGAAGTCACTAAAATTCGGTAACGCACCAATATCAGAAACGAATAATATATACTTCAGTCATGGAGCTCGAGATGCCTGTTAGTGGTTTCTGGAAATAGTCCACTCGCGGGATATGTAAGAAAAAGCAATTGAAAGTGCTGTCAGTATAAGCACGCAGGGATCTTGCAGACCGCAAAATGATCGTATCTTTCACGTGTTTTTGTATGTGTTCTGGTGGTCTTGATCGGAAAGGCTTTCCGGTTTCCAAGCGGATCTGTAGCTAAATGCCCGGTACATTTGTCTAAATCGTATGGGGGCTGCAGGTCAGAAAGGGCTTACAATCGAGTTTGTTCCATAGCTTTTCACAAGAGAAGTCTCGTTTGTGAATAGGCATTATGCTGGAATCGTATTATTGACTGACGGCAGAGATTGTTTGTTTAATCACTCCGATTTTACCCTCACTTCGTTTACGGACGATTACATCTGACTTTTGTTACACGAGTTAACTGGGAATAATTTGTAATTCTGTTCGGTAGACGTGCCCTACTCTCCTGGCCAGATAATTCGAGATTTCCCACCACCTTCAACTAGAACCTGGTGGTATTTAGACGTTGGCTTGTGGAAGCACTAACAGTTCGGTAAACCTGTCCGGATACTGTCTAGACCAAGTAAAACACGAGGGTTTTAGCAGCTCTTTGTGTACGGTGCGCTAATGTCATACCATCCATGAAGCTGACATGTGAAACAAGTAAACGGTAGTTTCCTGGTTTTGTGATAAGTGTGACTTTAATAGAAGTACCAAAGGAGAGGCCGAATCGGAATATTGCGAAAAAAACCTTCAGTCGTATCACGGTATTTTTCTGTCAGTAATTTCCGATTTTAACCACTGAGCCATCTATCCAGAACCTGTAAACCTACAGTCTTTTTTTCGCGCTTAAATTTGTAGTGACAGAACTTCCATGGTTGCAAGAATACCGTTCCTACCGCGAATCCATGAAAGTCGTTTGCAGTATCCCACTGCTCAGCTTTCAGGGACTTTCAGCCACAGTAGATCAGTAAAGTTGCAAGTTGGTGAATTGCGGCCGCCCTTCGATAGTCCTTTTTGTTACCGATGTAGATACTGCTCAGCTTTCAGGGACTTTCAACCACAGTAGATCAGTAAAGTTGCAAGTGGGTGAATTGCGGCCGCCTTTCGATAGTCCTTTTTGTTACCGATGTAGAAGGAGTTTACAGGGCCCACAGTTATCTCACTAGCATCTTCGAATTCAGCTGTTGATTCTAATATCGCCTGATCGATTTTAAGAATGGTCAAACTGAGCTTCTTGGACATGGTGTTTCACTACGATTCATCCTTGACTTGTTAACCACCTGCAGCATTCTTGACTTTTTCACCTTTATATTTATCCGGTTTTAATCCACTTCAGCTTCGTTATTCCGGCATCACTTTCGGTCTCTTCAGTCCACTCGCGGCGGTCGCTTCCTGCCGTCCCTTGTCGGTTGGCGATCGTGTGCGACTGAAGCGATGTTTTAACGCAAAAGATGTAGAAGCCTTTGCGCATACAACGGGTGATACCAATCCTATTCACTTGGACCCAGACTTTGCTAAACAGTCTATATTCAAGCGTTGTGTGGTTCACGGTGCTCTAACGGTTGGGTGAGTTGCGCCATCCTGAAGTGGGATGTGTTTCACGCACTGACAGTGCGGTTTAGTCAATTTATACCCACTGAATTCTGTTTCTTTATCGACGTTATCCAATAGATGCGACAATAATTTTGGTATGATTTCATTGGTTGGTTGGTTGGTCCTAGTTGGTTAAGTATGAACGACCACTTAAGTTTAGTTTGGACTGGCTAAACCAAGTTACAAAAGCAAGTAAGTACTATTGAAACCACTCGGTATAAATAAAAAAACAATAGTGACGGGTTTTTCCAACAACGACCCGTGGTGAGATATGGTATTCTTTCACTCAGTGAACCTTCGGAATAAGTCAGCATATTTCTAATCTGATCTCTGTCCAGTTCCGTTTTGATTGATCTAACTATTTCATAAAAGGTCTCGGTCCGAATTGTGTTCCGTACGTATGAACGGACAGTCACAAAAGATCAGAAATTGGCGTTGGCGTGATTCGTTTGTTTCGCCGGATTCTATCACATGTCAAGTGCGCTTTTCCAGTCCTGTCAAATATAGGAGTACTTCCTCCTATCAATCGGGGTCGCAGCCGCATGGGATCCGCCTTTGGCGATCGCCATACAAAGTTGGGGCCACTTTGTCTTGTCTGGTCGACACATTTTCCAAATTCAATGCCGGGCAGGATTATAGCATTCATGGGATCCGCTTTTGGCGATCGCCTACAAAGCTGGGGCCACTTTGTCTTGACTGCTCGACACATTTTTCAAATTCAATGCCGGGCAGGATTATAGCATTACGGCCGTCTTTTGAAACTAGCCTAACCAATTCGGAACAAAAATGACCCATTTCAGTTAGGTATACCAGTTATTGGCAGACACTCATGACAGTATCCTGCGACATTGAAGATCTGACAGATGAGCTGGTGACACAATATCTCGAGATAAATTTCCTCTACACTCACATCTGTTACTCCAAAACACACTGGCTTCAACTGGGCCACCTCGCTTTCTTACGACTGCTTAGAGCGTTATCGGAAAGGTGACTTCTGAAGACCTAAGGGTCCATATTTTTGGTCACCTTATGGCAGCCACGAGTGGCTTTGCTGGAAATCCAATTTAGGAACGACCTGTAATTGCGTTTGTCCACCAGGAATCCAATTTTCTTGTCGTCCGAATGCTGCTTTACGAGCGTTTCCCAACCTCTATGTATGCTTCGCAGCATAAATCGTAGTTACAGCTTCGTTTACAAGTCATTTTAATCACAAGTATTTCCTGTGTTCCAAAGTTGGTGACTTTGTATTGTAAGTCAGCTGTGATGATTACGGAAAGAGGATCGCTTTAAAGGTACCTCTTTCAGAATAACTCATTTCAACGTGAGACTAGAAGCTATGTGTTTCCGGCGTCCGGCACATTTCACGAACAGCGATGTCAAATCTCCCATTTGCTGGTGGAAATTTATGATTTCTGCCAACCGTGTGTAAATATGTTTTCTGTGGTGAATTTCGGGAATTATTGCGTATCGTGCAAGGGAGAGCACAATTTTCTAAGAACGATGAGTTATGCATGAATACAGCACTTGTTTCGCTCCGAATTTACTTGGCTATCGAGAGGGATTCACGCAAACTTCGTTGCGATGATTGTTGCGACCACGTCCAATCCTGCCTGATGCGTCTGCCGTTTCAAATTATTGGTGAAGCGATCCGAGCTATCTGTCTGTCTACTATCTGCGATATTGTCCAGGATACAGTGCGCCTCCAAACAAGCGCGCACTCTCCGTAATAGCGAAAGTCGCGCTCACCTATAGAGGACTGCGCTTTGAGACGTACTTCTGTGGCATCTTTCTGCACAACCGTGGTTAACCTCAGCTGGCATGAATTCGTTATTCCACTAATCTACCAGAAATGAAACTTGGTATTGTTACCGTACAAAAGGAGTGACGGAATAAACCGACGTTTTTGTCATCGATCGCTTTGTTCAGTAAAGTTGACAATAGCTATATGTCGAACGTACTATATGAGACAGATATTCGGGGAAAATAACACTAAATGGAGAACATAATGCATGCCTTGGTTCGGTTGGTTGCGACTTTCGCTCGTAGCTTGCCTCTCGCCTTCCTCAACTTACCTCGTCATTTGATTGACAGGTAATTCTTAAATATAGTGAACCCGGTGTGTAGTTCAAATTTCATTTTCCACGGAACATTTCGGTGATATATTTTTCCAGTAAGCCCGAAGAAAGCCAACTTATGTGATGCTGTCTGGGCTGGCGCCAAAGGGCCTCAATGGGTAAAGGCGTGAACGTAAGAGTGAAGCGGAGCATGCAGTGGAATTTCGTTGACCATGTTCTTCATCACATTAAAGATTGCTTGTAGTGATTCCACTTTAACAGGGATTTTCTTAGGTGGATCTAGTCTTGTGCGAGGTCTCACTCAGAAACTAGCGGACATTCTCACGAACTCCGAACTCCTAGGGTATTGATCTATCCAAGTGTGAAGGATGCATTCGTATCCATATGGAATACCAAATAATGTGAATTCTTGTTGCCTGATGGCATTAAGAGAAAAGTACATCATCTGTATTCCAAGTCTGGTCCTAATTCACGTGACGCTCAATCGATGACTAAAGTGTTTTTGGTTGATTCCTGATAGACTGCATCTAGCTATAGATCACATGGTTGTTCAAAATTACCCAATTTCGTTTACTGTATCAGTCAACTTACGCAGCTTATCCGCTTCGCTTGCTGGCGAATGCTCTTTTTTTTCATTCCTCTCAGACACACACTCATCACGTGGTCATCGTGGAGAGCTATCTGTTGTAGTCAGGGCGTTGGTAGCTTACGATGAATACCAATCACTAGGATGCCAGTATGCGCCTCATTATCGGTAATGCCCTTAACCAGAAAGTATAACAATCTTCTACAGCGCGATATAATTAAATTTCCACAGTATATCCGCAAAAAAATTTGTGGATTGATGGGGCAAACACCTGCGGAGGTATGTGCATGCTTATTTTGGTTCTGATTGGTCAACTGGGAATTTTTTACCCGACGAAGACACTAAAAAAGCATCGCACAATTGTCCAATTCTCATTTGGATTGCGCCTCTCATGAAAATTTTATGGGAAAGGCCTCGTAACGACTATGGGAGCCTCAAGTTGTTTCCATGAGATATGTTACTCGTTATCGTCAGTAGTTAGAAGTGATTGAATTTTTTGCTGGCCTCAAATAACATGACGGAATAGCTATAAGTACGTTTTTTGTCGCATTTATGGACTTCATAGTAGTCAGGGGTGCATGCCTCACACAGACCTCCAATCTACGTGATTCACGTGGCAATCAAGTCCAAAGTGAATTGGAAAGGACGAAATTAAACCCTTGGATCTGTTTGCTTGAGCGATTCTTATTATCAGTTAACGCACCAAGTGGTTTGAAGCTGACAGTGAGTCAAATGGGAAGAACCTCATCTCGATTTCTTGAGAACGTCAACAAAAGTCTCTGATGACTTCATTGAGTAGGAGTTGGTGATAATTAGGTAGTATCTTGCGTAACGACGAAATCCATTAACGATATGTCAGGAAAATGTTGTGGCATCACCACACAAATACGTCCACCTCAGCACTCCTCAAAGCACGTATATCTCTCTCTCACACACTCTCCATATAT